GTGCTTCATAGTGAACTCAAGTTCTTTAATTTAACTAAAGCTCTTAGATGTTGGGAAGGTGTTGCAGAATCAGTCAGTGCTAGATTTCAGAGTTCCAACTTCCAGAATCATGAGAGTATAAATTCTTTTCTTTTCACCATCCCTTTGAAGGATGTTGTTGATGATAGCCCTTGTAAACTCATGCTTTGATGGACCAGGCAACTAGAACAGACCAGCTGGCAACAAAAGCTAGAGTTCTTAGAAGGATTTCTGGAATGACATCAATGAAAGAGCCATAGGCTAGCCCACAGTCTTCGGATAAGTCCAGTTCTACACCATAAACGCCAATTCTCGGACATGTCTGTCTTGGTTGAAACTGTGTAAGACTCTTCCAGAGCGACAGCTAAGGCTCAGTCAAAGGGAGTTGGCTTTTTCAGATCTGACTGCCACAGTTTTGAGGGAGTTTTATTTTGAGATCGGGTTTTGTTATATAATCCTGTCAGCCCTGGTACTTGGCTATGTGGCATAGTTTGGCCTCACACTTTTGGCAACCCCCTGCTTCAGTCTCCTGCCTTGGATTAAAGATGTATGCCACGAGGCCCATCTAAGTGTCACATTTTAATCCTAATAGCATATTTGAATAATTGGATCTGTTTTTATCTTACTTTCTAGGCTTACATCAGGCCATTTCCATGCACGCGTGTAATGATCTTTCAGCATTCCCTCCATACCATACTACCCTCTCTCACTGGTCCTTTCTTCCTCTACATACTTTATCTTCTGCTCTCATGTCAACTGCACATATGTGATTCTAATTAGTTATAAAATCTGTGGTCTACAATGAAGAAAATATGTGATATTTGTCAATGAGGCTGATATCTCATTGAGTGTGATTATCTCCAGCAAATCTGTTTTCTTGTGGATAATATAACTTCACTCTTCTTAATGGCGGAGAAAGTTCTGGCCACGTTCTCTTTATCCTTTCTTCTGATTTGGGAAATCTAGGTTGGTTCTATGACTTAGCTGTTGTGAACTGTGCTGCAGTGAGCATGATGCACAGATACCTCTGGGTCCCGCAGGAGGGCCACAGCTGGGCCGTATGGTAGATCTAGCTTTAGTTTTTTGAGGAAGATCTACACTGATTTCCCCAGAGACTAGGATATCTTATATTTCCCTCAAACCTCTAGAAGGATTCCCTTTGGTTCACATACATTATTAGTTATTATTTATTTTTTGGATGGCTAGCATTCAGACTGGGGCGTGATGGCATCTCTATGTAGTTCCTTTGTATGGATAGTTTAACGTTTCCTTGCTGGAATCTACCAAGTTAGTCGGGTCTCTACTAGACACTCTGAATCACACTAGGGTGTGTGCAGTCCCAAGGGCGGCGGCTGCTGTTGCACAGACCTGTCTGACTTTTTTTTTTCAGCTAGGCAACCTGCCTCTCCCATTCCAGTTTCTTAAACCTTGGGTGTGTTTCTTGAGAACATATGAGATTTCATGGCTCAAAACATTTACAGAGCTCACAGTGGTTGCTCCTGAGGAGGCAGAACAGATGTGAGAGCTTTTGACAAACTGCACTGGGAGTTCTGCTGTTTGGATGATTTGATCTTGTGTCATAGACTTAGAGACTCACGCTCACTTTGAGTGAGCATGTTGACGCCCAGATTTGAAAAAGACCAGTTTCTTTGACAAGGCCTTAACTGTCAGCTTCTCAGAGATTGTCATGTTTGAGTACTCTGTTTGTGACATAGAATAGGAGTTTATCAAGACCTTGTTTTTTTTTTATTTTTTAAATTTATTTATTTATTAAGGATTTCTGCCTCGTCCCCACAACCGCTTCCCATTTCCCTCCCCCTCCCCCGATCAAGTCCCCCCCCCCTCATCTGCTCGAAGAGCAATCAGGGTTCCCTGACCTGTGGGAAGCCCAAGGACTGCCCACCTCTATCCAGGTCTCGTAAGGTGAGCATTCAAACTGCCTAGGCTCCCACAAAGCCAGTACGTGCAGTAGGATCAAAAACCCACTGCAATTGTTCTTGAATTCTCAGTATTCCTCATTGTCCGCTATGTTCAGCTAGTCCGGATTTATCCCATGCTTTTTCAGACCTAGGCCAGCTGGCCTTGGTGAGATCCCAATAGAACATCCCCATTGTCTTAGTGTGTGGGTGCACCCCTCAAGACCTTGTGAGCTCACCTGTGGTTCTGGATCCCGCACTGTAGCTTGTCTAGAGTTCTCTTTAAGAAAGCCAGTGTTTCTTGGAAGCTATTCTACTCATCTTCTAGTCTGCCTAAGCATGGGCCTGAAAGCCCCGCCACAATGCACCACGTGGGACGACACACAGCACACAGTTCATATGACCCCAGAGGCTGGAAGGGTGGCATCCAGGCTCCACAGGTCTGCTTTCTCCGAGGCTCTGTTCTTAGACTGTAGTGAGCATCTTCCCCTGTCTTTATATGACCTGTACTTGGAATCTGTTGAGTCCTGACCTCTTGTTGGATTAAGGGTCCACAGGAATGACCTTGTCTTGACCCCTTTCTAGGAAGATTGTGGTTTGAAATAAAGTTACATTCTGGGGTGCAGGGATTTTGTCTTCTATGTGTTAGTTTTGGAGACTTGTTTTGTTGCTAACAACAAGCTTAACTCAGTCTTCGTCTCCTGTTCGTTCATTCACAGGAGCCCGTGGGCTGGTGAATATGCCCTGCCCACAGATCAGGGAGGGTCAGAAGGTTTGAAAGGTCAAAACTAGGATATTACCCTTGGGTTAGAACCTGTAATTGAGGAAGAGCTGGAGAGCTCTTGCCTGTTTCCTGACACCAGAGTGGTGACAGTAAGTAGAGGAAAGGTCATAAGACACTCAGATGGATATTTCTATAAAAAGAAGACAATGTGCCAGCATCTGGAGATGAAGCATGTGAGCCGATTTTGCATTATTTGTTCTTCTACTTTATGGATGTAGCTGAGAGCAGAACTTAGAGTTGACTGTGGGACATCCCCTCATTACTGTCTGGGGCCTGGCGGTTGTGTAAACAGTGGGCTGAGTTCTGTGAAGTTCTAGCTGTTGCACAAAGAATAAGTGTTGAGATTGAAAGTCCAGGAAACACCAGCAGAAATGATTCTTTTTATAGAACTTGAAGTTCTCTCTCTCTCTCTCTCTCTCTCTCTCTCTCTCTCTCTCTCTAAGATAGGTTTTATTATGTAGCTCTGCCTGACCTGGAAGTCTTTTTGTAGACCATGTGGGTCTGGAATTCACAAGGCTCTGCCTGCCTCTGCCTCCTGGGTGCTGGGATTAAAGGTGTGAGCCGTTATGTCATACTCACCGCCCCCCCCCCCCCCCCAAGTCTGGCTGAAGTGCTCTGCTAGCCAATGCACACAAAGCCCTGAGCTTTCAGATGGATGAGCTGATGCTTCCTGACCTGGCCATGTGTAGACAAATCGCTTAGATGTGAAAATGCTGGTATTGTTGTCCACTCCTCGATGGTTGGGTTAGATGTAGGAAGAGAACCAGTTTGGGAGGTAGACAGGCTCCTTGGTGTGCATGGGCTTAAACTGAGGCACCAGCCAACACAGCACTGGCTATCGTTGTGTGGACTGGAGAGCAAACCTTCCCACAGCCCATTACACAGGTTGAATGGGAGTATCTCTGTGTGATCATGTAAGGTCATGCCAGCCAGCCAGGGCATTTAGAGTATTGGAGTAGGCCTAATCTGGGCATTTGCTGAGAAGAGCAAGCCGTCCTTGCCTGCCTGTGAATGCCCAGCTGTGGTGTTTAATGGATATTTTGGACAGATGGGTCCCCATCCCAGGCATCTGAAGGCCTGAAGAATATGAACCTCTGATTGCCATGGACCTTGCTGGTGTCACTTGTTAGGTCAGGGTACAGACTGATGCCACTGTCCTCATTGCCCTGCTGTGTTTGTGTTCTGCCTCCATCTCTCTCTCTTTCTTGGGCATGGTGGATAATACTTTTGATCCCCAAGGACAAAGCTCAGCTCTCCTCTCCCCTAGGCTTCCACGTCCCTGTAGAAGTTATAGCCAAGGCTCTACTGATCTCTTTGTCTGGCAAAATGTCTCCTCCTATACCTCCCCACCCTAGCTGCTCCTATAAAAATGATTCATTCCATACTTCCACACCCTAGCCTCAGGGAGTCTGGACAGCCATGTTTTCCCTTTCCTGTAGCCCTAGCATTCTTCAACACTCAACATAGTGGGTTCCTAGGTGGGTTCTCCCTGATCTCCATGCCTGCCACACAGTCCTGGATGTTGAAAAAAAATGCAATCAAGAGCTGGACAATTGCAGAAGGGCAGATGAATTGTGACTCCTTGTTTATCTCTCCTTGCAATCAGGTAGGCTGGTAAAAGCTAGCAAGAGTTTGGCATAAAACCAGGAAGAATGACAAAGAATATGTTGTATAAGGACATACCCAGTTCTTTTCCAGCAGAGAAGCTTGTGGATCCTAAGGTCTGGTTCTGGGTAGGAAGAATGGAGTCTGTGAGAGGGAATGCTGGAAATTTTTACTGAGGAAAAGTGGGGGATGGTGTGGGACCAAGATCCAGCATGCTGCGACTTTCAAATGCCTAGAGTCTCTCTGCAACTCAGTGGAGGTCCAGAACCATTATCGCTTCCTCCTCTTCTGTAATTCAGTGGAGGTCCAGGACCATCCAAACCTTCTCCTCTTCTGCAGCTCATTGGAGGCCCAGGACCCTCATAGCCTCCTCCCGTCCCCACCAGACAGAGGCCAAGAAGAGTTGTCCTCACAGTATCTCTTTGTCTATAAAGAAGATCAGGAAGTATAGTGCACTTGGCTTCATGTCAAGATACTATTTACTATGCCTTAATGACTAGGCAATAGTCCTCTGGACTATAAAAGTCAGAGATAGTGAGGGCAGAGAAAATATTTCTTTCTTCCTATCTCTGGTGAGATCACTGGCCTTCCTCTCCATTTCAAGGCAGTTTTTTTTTCAGAAGAGCAGACTACTTCTTGGTGAGTATTTCCAGTGTGGGCTGTTATACCTGGTGAGGGAGGCCAGCTGTTAGGGAAAAGGTGACTTTGGAGGTGGTGAACCCATGTCCTTAGCTGAGGGGCTGATGGCTCTTGAGCAGCGTGGCCTAGAACTTTCTACCACATAGAGAGAGCCTGCACCTGCTCTCCAGAGGAGCTGTTCTTGACTCAGCCCTGTCAACTGTGGAGAGAGATCTAGTGCCCTCTGGACCTAAGCAAGAAGAATCCTTCCTGAATGAAATTCCTTCCCTGGGAAGACCCTTTCTCTTTCCCATGCCTTGATAGAGGATATGGTATCTTTTCCAGTTTTGCATCCTTCCAAATGGCCACATCTAGCATAAAGCCAGTGTTCAATAATTTTTGTCTTTCTGAAAGAATGAGTGAATGAACAAAAGAATGACTGAATAAATGACTATATAGATAAACAACACAGTGGGGTGTGTGGGTTGCTGGATTACAGGTCTGAGCCCCATAGCTCTGACCCCACTGTCCTCACTTGTATCTCATTCAGTGTTCACAGGAGTCACCATGGCCTGGTCCTCCAGCCCGAAGAGTCTCCTCACAGTCTTTGTCTTTACCAGCTTGGCTGTCAGCTCTGTGGGTAAGACTAAACATGGCATTCCTTTCTCCTTAAAAATGGGAAGGGGGAGGTGAGCAGTCAAGAGCCTTGAGGAAGTAGCCAACCAGATGAGACTCCTATCTAGCCTCTTATGACTTCTTGACTCCAGGAAAACATCAACTGTAAGGCTCTTGGGTTACCCTTAAAATAATGTATATTTCCTTCTTGCAGAGAGTAACCAGTGTATGGTATATACATGTGAAAATGAACAATGTACTGAGGATACAGATGATTGTCTAGACTCTAATGGTTGCTTCAATCAAATACAGAGATTTGACACACCATGTGAGCCAACCCTCACTCCTTGAGCAATCTCCATTTTATCCTTGGTTCCTTTCCAAGATAAGAATGGGGCCTGGGGTTCTGGGAGGTGGTGGAGATGGAGCATGTGCTTGTTGTAGGACCTGGGTTCTACATGATGAGGACCATTCGGGTGTGACTCTTCTTATATTCACACCATCGGGAATCTAACTGAGGGCATCACGCATTCTAAGCAAGTACTCTACCACCAGTCACTCCCTTTCATAGCAAATGGTCCCTCTGTTGGTTCATTCTCTGAAACATATCATTGAGGATGGAGGGACTCTTGGAGAAGTACAGTACTCATGTACAGGGCATGAAGGGACAGGTTCTTTACCACTAACTCAGGAGGAAAATTTACTTAGTGGTTCAATTTTTTGCAGCTCCTGCTACAAACCAAACGATTAAGCAAAAAGGGTGTTCTAAAGACCCATGTAGTGAACTGGAATTCTCAGCCACACTGGGGGAGCAACGGAGATTTAGCTTTGTGAACCGTTGCTGCACATCTGATAGGTGCAATGAAGGTGACTTAACACGTGAGTACAGCTCCGGCTGGGGCCCCACCTGCTCAGGGCTCCTCTGCCCTTCCATGGATGCGTCTCACTTGCCTTCCCTTTTTGCTTGAAGCTTTCCTTTGTAAAGGGTCTGGGTTGGATACGCGCCCCTCTCTTGGGTTTGTGTGCACATAGTTGTGTACACAGACTGGGTGACAGATGGGGAGCAGTAATTGCTCCTGGGTCTATTCTCTAAGTAGGTTCAATGAGTCTCTAGGTTTAAACGCTTTGCTCTGCGCCTCCAGTTGACAGTTCTTCACCTATTTTATTCCTCATCCTGGATTTTTGTATTGTTGAGATGGAGTCTTGCATGTATCCAGGCTTGCATTATATTACTGAGATCAAGCAATCCTCCTTCCTCAGCCTCCAAAGTTGATGCAGCTGGGAGTACAGTGTGTGTGACCAGCTATATAGGCAACTCTGGGGGACCAACTGACATTTAGATAGAACAAGTGATAATATCTATATTGCTATAATACTGATAATCTCAATCAAGAGGACACATGAAAGGAAAGATGCAAACCCCTTGCCCGGGTGGGAGAATGAGTGGCAGTTGAGTGCCATGGATTTGCACTCACTGTTTTCTTTGAGACTATTGATTTAATTGTGTACCCCCAGCCTTCAGCTGAGAGATTTTTCTCACCTATTTAGTCCCTCATCTTTGTTTTTGTTGTGGACATGGAATCTTGCTGTGTTTCCCATGCTTGTTTTGAATTACTCTACTCAAGTAATTCTTCATCCTTAGTCTCCTAAGTAGAAGTATCTAGGAGCACGCACAAGCACACGCACACACACACACCCTCTCTCTCTTGTCACACTGGCACTAATTCCTCACCCTTTTGTCAGCATAGTTTTAGATGGCAGACTGTCTCCTTTCCCAATATCTAGGAATTTTTTTCCTGCCATGTAGACAGGCGAGTGACTGAAGAGAGGCATAGAGAGTTGGGTGCACAACCATCACCACAGGATCTCCGATACCCGTCTCTTGTTTTCTCCTCGTATGGTATTTCAGTTGTATTTTTTGTTGTTCAATCATGAAAGAACTATATGGTTTTGTATTGGGTTAGGTAGTGATATTCTCAGCTATTATTTCCTACATCAGATAAAAACCTATTCCTCTCCATTCAGTACCTCAGGCATCTGAAGAAGCCAATGGTATTCAATGTCTTGCCTACTATGCGGACGCAGGAATGCTGGGTGTCCCAACTCTCCTAAATTGCACGGGAAATGAGACAGAATGCGGTTTCGTTATTGGCACAGGTATGATTTTATTTAGAGGATTTCAGGTTCATATTGTTAAGGGCACAGCACCATTTATCACTACCAATACCACACTTAACAGGGGAAGGCAATAATTATTTATCACCAGTCAGTATCTGAAAGTCTGTACCCTGAGAACAGCATTGCTGTGTGACTATCTTAGGGTGTCTCGTCAAGCTGAGTTCTGCTCTTGGTATAAACTGTAGTCCTTCAGATGCCCAGGGTGTCTTGTAGTTCTTCAGATGGAGAACCAGCTCATTTTTGACATTTGGTGGGTCTCACTTTCACTTCCCATGGCCTCCTTGTAGGTTGCCGGGGTTTTCCTAGCAATCCTCTTGTTTCCCCCTTAGAGAAGTGATGGGAGACAGACACAGATCAATTAGTAAAGCAGAGATTTTTCAAGCCCTCATCTTAGAAGTGACATATCATTTCATCTTGTGCCCTGTTAGTCACATAGATGAACCCAGATGTGACATAGGCGGATTCAATGGATTCAAGGCCTGGGCACCTCTGCCAGGAGATGGGTGTGATGGGAGCAGATTATCTTAGAAACTGTTACTCCTATAGAGCAAGGGCAGCAAGGGGCCGAGTGTTTGGTTGTCCCTCTAAAATCAGATTGAGCCATTTTTTTCAAGTAAAGAGGTGACAGAAAAAGAGGTGAGATAGAGGATGGGAGCTGAGGGAAGCGGGGGTGGGGAATGAACTGCTTCCCATGGAAGAGTCAAATTTGGGCATCTGTGTTGCTGTGATATTCTGGAATAGGACCTTGATCAGAAGTGCACAGAAAGGTGACACTTGAAGCCATCATCAATGTTATGATGACTCAGATCCCATCAATAAGCTGTGAGGTTTTGGTAAAGTCACTGATTTTAGTGAAATATTTATAATTTCCTATGCAAGAGAAAAGTACATGTTTGTTGTGAGGAGCACAGGTACATTTCAGGGATTAACTTCAAAAATAACTGTAGGGCTTTTCTTCCGGACTGTATGCTATGGGGATGAGCTAGCAGCTCCTCATAAGAACATGAAAAGTAGTGTGGAATTAGTGGTGTTTTAGGCACAGGTTATGTGATAGACTGAGAGTCTGACAGGTCTGGAGACAAGCTATGTTTTTATGTGGAAGGAATTTTACAGAGGTTCGGGGGTGAGTAAGGGAAGGGCCCTGTGTCTGAATGAGTTGAGATGAATAAAGAAAATGGGGTGTCACAGAATACAGAGGACGGTTGAAACCATCCTCAGTGGGACAAGCTTCTACCTCAGTGTACCTCAGGAAACAGGCATCCAGTGTGTTCCATAATTATTCTCATAGAGAACCCAGTGCCTTCAGAAGAAGGGATGTCAGTTTCGGGGGGAATCACAATATTTTACTCACGGGAGCCTGGGTAGAGAAGACAGGTACATTAGAGGGGTTTTAGCCAATAATTGAGACCCTGAATCTGGCCTTCTTCCATGTGTAACAAACTCATCTCTCCTAGTGAGTGGGAATGCAGATGCCCCAGTGTTAGCCTTGTGTCTGAGATGCAACCGTCTCTAAATGGTTCCTTCTATACTGGGGAGACAATGGGACCAGAGGACAGTAAGGTTGGGCCTGTGTATGGATGGAATAAAGCTGGGCTCATACATTTAGTCAAGAGGTAGAAGTTGTGGACTCTGGATCATTCTGAGAACAGTTTCCTTTCCCAATGGTTGTGGGTGAGGAGGGCGGAAGAGACAAGAGGAGACTAACTCTTGAGTCTTTTTCTTAGCAGCGGGAAGCAGTCATCCCTTTGCCTTTGTGATGGCTGGAATGGGCTGTGTGACAGAAAGCGTCTGCAACAGGAGTATAACTGTTCTCAACAGCACAAATATCTTTACCTTCTGCTCGAGTAAGTTTGCTGTGTTTCCAACCAACTCATCAGTTCCGGATGAAACTTCTGGCTTTCGACCTGCATCCATCTCAACAGTACCAATGCTGATTGTTCTCCTCCTGCTGAAAGTCTTGCTTTGATCATTCAGGCTCAGGCACACACAGTCCTACACACACGTTTGGACGGATTCCTTCAATGTGGAAGAATTAAAAGTTGGCTTGTTTGTATTATAGTGTAAAAACTCCAGTTCATTTTAAGTTTTACTTAATTTCAAAATTTGTGTGAGGGTGTGCATGTGTGTGTGTGTATGTGTGCAAGCATGCGTGTATGCATGTGTGTATTGCTGGTGGAGTCCAGAAGAGGGTGTCAGATCTCCTTCAGCTGGAGTTACAGGTGTTGTGAGATGCCTAGTGTGGGTGCTGGGAACAGAACTCTGGTTCTATATGGACACAGTTTTAGTTGCTGAGCCCTCTCTCCAGTCCCCTGTGATCCCTTTTGAAATGACCCCTTCTTTTACTCTTCATAGCATGTCTAAGATGTTTGAGATGACATTCGTGAGATTCTCTTTAGTCCTACTGTGGTTTCCAACCATCCCTTGAGCCATGCATCCTGGAACTTATCTTTTCTGAATGTTAATTTCTATTTATATGTGTTTAATTTCTATTTATATTTGATTCTTGTTACGAAAAATAAATTTGAATGAATAATTCAGGACTTTGGAGGTTCATTTTCAACAATTTATCATAGCATAGCTCAAATATTATATAGCCAGTTATGGTGGTAAATAAGCTCATAGCACTCAGGAAGTTGAGGCAGGAGGATTACTGCATGTCTGAGGATATCATGTGCTTTATAATGATTTTCTGGTTAGCCGAACGGCACAGCAAGACCTTGTTTCAAAAAAAAAAATAGAATAAATTAAATAAGATATAAAGAAAAGAGGAAGTTCCAGGTACCCCTGAAATTCTTTCACCTCAGAACCATGAGCATGGAACCATCACCATCTATTCTGCATATTTCTGCATCTTAGAGGAATCAGCCCCAGGGTACAGGCAGTGGCTGTCTGTTAAAGAAGTTATAAATACTCGCTTTAAATTAAAAGATATTTTCCTCAAGATCTCTGAAAGGTGTCCCCTCTCACGGCAGGGCTTGGGCCATTGCCAGCTCAAACAGCCCTTCCTGTGTGCCAGCAAGGCAAGGGGACTCCAGGAGAGAGAAAGCTTGCATGGAACCCAAACTTTACCATGTTCGTATGGTGCTGACCCTGCGCAAATGGACCCTCAGCTCTCAGATTCGGTTTCCAACAGTATCCAGCTCATCTCCCAAGGTTTTAGAAAGGAGAAGAGTGCCCGATGGCCACTTGGTATGTGAGAACTGTCTCTCTGCATCCACCAGGCCCTGATGTGATACTCCTGCTGTAGAATCCTCTTTCCCTCCCGGCACCAGTTTCATGGCTTCTCTAAGCTCACTCTACAGTCCTCTGTATATTGAAGAGAACACTCATTGGTTTCTGGCCTAGGTAAGGGGGTAACCGCCTTTTAGCCTCTACCCTCGGGGCTGTGTGAACACTGCTGTGAGTTGCACTTGACTCCTACACGGCAGTAAAGACAAATCCCAGTGCCATTATCATTGGGCCCCTCAGTCTACCCCAATTGTCAACCACATTCAGAGGGTCCAGTTTGATCCCATGCTCGTTCATTCCCAGTTCAGCTGGAGTTGGTGAACTCCCATTAGCTCAGGCACACTGTCTCAGTGGGTGAACCAACTCCTTGTGGTCCTGACTTCCTTGCTCATATTCTCCCTCCTTTGCTCTTCAACTAGACCTTGGGAGCACATTTCAGTGCTCGGATATGGGTCTCTGTCTCTGTCTCCATCTGTCGCCGGACGAAGGTTCTGTGGTGATATTCAAGATAGTCATCAGTCTGACTCCAGGACAAGGCCAGTTCAGGCACCCTCTTCCCCACTGCCCAGCGTCCTAGCTGGGGTCATCCCTGTGGACTCCTAGGAACCGCTCCAGAACCAAGCCCCTTGCCAACCCCAAAATGGCTCCCTCAATTAAGATGTCTACTTCCCTACTCCCATATCTGTCCTTCCTCCATCTCAACCATCCCACTCCCCCAAGCTCTCACCAACTCTCCCCTTTTCCCCTCTCTCTCCCCCTCTCCCCTTCCCTCTACCCCCACCTCGCCTGAAGGCTCCCAACTTTTGCCTGGCGTTCTTGTCTGCTTCCAATTTCTAGGAGGATCTATATATGTTTTTCTTTGGGTTCACCTTATTACTAAGCTTCTCTAGGATAGTGAACTATAGGCTCAATATCCTTTGTTTATGGCTAGAATCCACTAATGAGTGAGTACATATCATATTCATTTTTGGGGGTCTGGGTTATCTCACTCAGTATAGTGTTTTCTACTTCCATCCATTTGCATGCAAAATTCAAGATGTCATTGTTTTTTACCGCTGAGTAATACTCTAATATGTAGATGTGCCACACTTTCTTTATCCATTCTTCCATTGAGGGGCATCTAGGTTGTTTCCAGGTTCTGGCTATTACAAATAATGCTGCTATGAACATAGCTGAACAAATGTTTTTGTAGTATGATTGGGCATCTTTTGGGTATATTCCCAAGAGTGGTATTGTTGGATCCTGAGGTAGGTTGACTCCCAATTTTCTGAGAAACAGCCACACTGATTTCCAAAGTGGTTGCACAAGTTTGCATTCCCACCAGCAATCCCCTTACTCCACATCCTCTCCAGCATAGGTTATTATCGGTGTTTTTGTTTTTAGCCATTTTGACAGGTATAAGATGGTATTTCAAAGTTGTTTTGATTTCCATTTCCCTGATAGCTAATGAAGTTGAACATGTCCTTAAGTATCTTTTGACCATTTGAAATTCTTCTGTTGAGAATTCTCTGTTTAGTTCAGTGCCCATTTTTTTTAATTGGGTTATTTAAAAATTTTAGTGTCCAGTTTCTTGAGTTCTTTTGCTCTTGAGATCAAAAAGATCTTGAGATCTTTTGGAGATCAGATATTTGTCTGATGTGGGGTTGGTGAAGATCTTCTCCCATTCAGTAGGTTGCCTTTTGTCTTAATGTCTTAGTGTCCTTTGCTTCTTAGTTCAGGAGGTCCCATTCATTCATTGTTGCTTTTATTGTCTATGCTACTGGGGTTATACTTAGGAAGTGGTCTCCTGAGCCCTTGCATTGCAAGCTACTTCCCACTTTCTCTTCTATCAGGTTCAGTATGGTCAGATTTATCTTGAGGTATTTAATCCATGTGGATTTGAGTTTTGTGCATGGTGATTGATATAGATCTACTTTCATTCTTCTATAGGCCGACATCCAGTTATGCCAGCACCATTTGTGAAAGATGCCTTCTTTCTTCAATTGTATAATTTTAGCTTCTTTGTCAAAAATCAGGAGTTCATAGATATGTGGATTAATATCCGGGTCTTCAATTTGATTCCATTGGTCAATGTCTCTGTTTTTATGCCAATACTAAGCTATTTTCATTACTGTAGCTCTGTAATAGAGTTTGATGTCAGGGGATGGTAATGTCTTGGGAAGTTCCTTTCTTATATGGGATTGTTTTGGCTATTCCGGGTTTTTTGTTTTTCCATATTAAGTTGATTATTGTTCTCTCAAGGTCTGTGAAGAATTTTGTTGAGATTTTGATGGAGATTGCATTGAATCTATAGATTGCCTTTGGTAGAATTGCCATTTTTACTATGTTGATCCTACAAATCCAAGAACATGGGAGATCTTTCCGTTTTCTGGTATCCTTTTCAATTTCTTTCATCAAAGACTTAAAGTTCTTGTCAAATAGGTTTTTCATTTCCTTGGTTAGTGTTACCTCAAGATACTTTATGCTATTTGTGGCTATTGTGAAAGGTGATGTTTCTCTGATTTTCCTTTCAGCTTCTTTATCCTTTGTGTATAGGAGAGCTACTGGTTTTTTGAGTTGATGTTGTGTCCTGCCACACCACTAAAGATATTTATCAGCTGTAGGAGTTCTCTGGTAGAGGTTTTGGGGTCACTTATGTACACTATCATATCATTTGCAAATAACGAAAGTTTGACTTCTTTCTTTCCAATTCAAATCCCCTTGATCTCCTTATGTTGTCTTATTGCTATTGCTAGGACATCAAGCAATATGTTGAAGAGATATGGAAAGAGTGGACAGCCTTGTATTGTTCCTGATTTTAGGTGGAATCGTTTTGAGTTTCTCTCTATTTAATTTTATGTAAGCTGTTGGCTTGTTCTATATTGCTTTTATTATATTTAGATATGATCTTTGTATTCGTAATCTGTCCAATACCTTGATCACGAAGGGGTGTTGAATTTTGTCAAATGCTTTCTCAGCATCTAATGAAATGATCATATTTTTTCTTTCAGTTCATTTATATGATGGATTACATTGATAGATGTTCATATGTTGAACCAGCCCTGCATCTCTGGGATGAAACCTACTTGGTCATAATGGATGACTTTTTTGATGTGTTCTTGGATTCAGTTTACCAGTATTTTATTGAGAATTTTTGCATCGATGTTCATGAGTGAGATTGGTCTGTAATTCTCTTTCTTAGTTGAGTCTTTGTGCAGTTTTGGTATCAGGGTAACTGTAGCTTCATAAAAAGAGTTTGGCAATGACCCTTATGTTTCTATAATATGGAACGCATTGAGCAGTATAGGTATTAGCTCTTCTTGGAGTTCTGGTAGAATTTTCCACTAAAACCATCCATCCCTGGGTCTTTTTAGGTTGGGAAGTTTTTGATGACAGCTTCTACTTCTTCGTGACTTATGGGTCTATTTAAATTGCTCACCTGGTCTTGATTTAATTTTGGTATATGGTATCTATCTAAAAATTTATCAATTTCTTTTACATTTTCCAATTTTTTGGAGTACAGGCTTTTGTAGTAAGACCTAATGATTCTCTGAATTTCCTCAGTGTCTGTTGTTATGTCCCCCTTTTCATTTCTGATTTTGTTAATTTGGGTGTTCTTTCTCCACCTTTTGATTAGTGTGAATAAGAGTTTGTCAATCTTGTGGTGTCCCAGATTTCCTGGATGTTTTGTGTTAAGAATTTGTTGGATTTGATGTTTTCCTTGATCAATGAGTCTATTTCCTCTATAGTATCTTCAGAACCTGAACTTCTTTCTTCTATCTCTTGTATTCTGTTGGTTATACTTGGCTCTGTAGTTCCTGTTCGTTTACTCAGATTTCCCATATCCAGCTTTCCCTTGGTTTGTGTTTTCTTTATTACCTCCATTTCAGTCTTCAAGTCTTGAACTGTTTGCTTTACCTGTTTGATTGCTTTTTCTTGGTTTTCTTGGGTATCTTTGGGGGATTTATTAATTTCTTCTAACTTTTTGTTTCTCTTCTCTTCCATTTCTTTAAGGGAGCTTTTTACTTCCTATTTAAAGGTCTCAATCATTTTCATAAGGTTACATTTAAAGTCGTTTCCTTCTACTTCTTCTGGGTTAGGGAACTCAAGTCTTCCTGTTGGGAGCTCACTGGATTCTGGTGTTACCATGTTGCTTTTCAGGATGTTGAAGGAATTCTTGCATTGGCGTCTACCCATCTCTTCTTTCAAATGAAGCCAGTAGAGTCTTGGCATCTTGGTCCAATCTTTGCTGTGGCTGACTGAGTACTTGGGGGTTTTTCTTGGTCTGCCCTCTCTTGTGTCCCCTCAGCACTGGAGCAAGCTGTGTTTG